AGCCATAAATCATTGCTTTCGAAGCATTCATATTCACTTCAAACGATTTCTCAACAATTCAATGGAGAGTTGCCTTCAAGAATGATGAGCAAAATGATGAGCAAGGTCTTTTCTTATAATAGCAAACATCATTTTTCAATAAATCAAACAAATACTTCTAATCCTTTGAATTGTTGGATTGAAGATCTAATCAGACATTCAGATAATACTTAACTTTGATAATAGTTTTTAGAAAATATTAATTCAGGAAATATCGAGAAAAAGGTTTTTGTTTTGTTTTTCCTTTCGTTCACGACTTTGTAATCATTACTAATGTTTTATCGAAATCTAATTGTTTTCTCAATTAAGAAATAATGAAAATAACAAAACTCTGAATACTATTAAATTGAGAAATGGTTTTAAACTTTAAAAAGTAAACCAAAAAATACCCTTTAATCAAAACTCCAAATGAGATAAAAACTAATCATTTTATTTGGCCTTCAATTGCATTGAGAATCTGTTTTCATTAAAAGAATGTCTGTTTTCCGTTGTTTTCTTGCGTTCACTCTTTGCTTGACTTTCGGCCAAACGGTTGACGAAAGCGTTGTTGTCGTCAGAGTCAGGAATGGAGTCATTAATGGCCGCAAAGAGCTCTCAGTCGACGGCAAACCCGTTAACGTCTTTAAAGGCATTCCTTTCGCCAAACCTCCGATCGGAGACTTGCGGTTCCGACGGCCTGTTCCCGCAGAGGAATGGCAGCACCCGTTGGACGCCTTCGAGTTCGCGCCTCCGTGTTATCAAAACGGGAAATACAACTCCTCTTTGTTCCCAAACACGGGTTTCAGCGAAGACTGTCTTTATTTGAATGTCGTTTCGCCGCAAATCAGCGATGAGTTGAAGCCAGTGATGGTTTGGATTCACGGCGGAGCTCTCACTAAAGGCACGGCAAATGTGGACACTTTCGGCGGCAAAGAGTTGTCTGCGAAAGGAGTTGTCGTCGTTTCCATTAATTACAGGTTTTTTCGCATTTATTACCGCTTTTTTCATTCAATTCCTTTCTCTCCGAAGACTAAACGCTTTGGGATTTCTGTATTCGGGCGAAGAGTCGGCGCCGGGAAACGTCGGGCTCTGGGATCAGGCGCTGGCCTTGGAGTGGATCAACGACAACATCCGCTACTTCGGCGGCGACGACCAGAGAATCACCATTT